ATGTTTTCTTGAGACGAAAATGTATGCAAACTGCCAAGACAACGCTTTGTTTGCTTCTGTTTTTAGGGCAAAAAGGAACGTACTTGTTCTCCGGCAGTTTACGCACAAATTATCTGCATGATATGTTTGTTATTATTAATTAATAAACGATACATGACAGCAGCGAATTTTTTCTCTCTATGGTTTAAGTACAGAGCTCTGCAGTTATAAGTTGTTTTGTATTTGCTTCGCGCAATTAGTAAATCGATCAGCTTTTTAATTAGACTGTTCGTGCTCTGCACGCCCTAGTTTTACTTTATTGACCATTCACTTCCGAACAGGGCACATGCGTAGTCGGGACTGGGCTCCAAATTTAACAATTTTCGGTTTTGTCGAAGGTATTGTAGTATCTGATCGTCGTACCTCAAAATAAATTTTCGTCAAATGTGGTCACTATAAGGCGAGCCTCAACAAAAATAAAATTGGGTGCGACTATTGTCACCCCCTCGCACCCCCTTTTGGCTATTGTTACCCCCTTGCACTCCCATTTGACTATTGTCACTCCCTTTTTTTAGATAAAGTGAACACCCCTTTAGGCTATAGTCACCACCTTTCTCACCCCCTTTGGCTATTGCCACTCCTTGGCCATTTCTTATAAAAAACACGTTGTTGCAAGCTTGGCCTTTCAGCTAACTTAAGTAAGATTGTAAACTACCGGCAAGGTTCAAAAAAGTGCCAGCGACCACTGAGTGCTGTTAGCGCGGAAAGAGAGGCAGCCATTTGTTTATGACTCTGTACCGCCGACCTTGGCACCAGAGGTCAAGAAAGTATTGAGAACAACCGAAATCGAGGGCACCAAAATTTTCTTTCCGTACGTGAAGCATCAAAAGAGATTATCGTAATTATGGACTTTTTGCGATTGCATTCGCTGCGGATCTCATCAGCTAAAAACCCTCGAAGCTGTTAAGTTTAATATTAAAAAAATGACGCCGCATCTTAGCGATGTATAAAGTGTCAGTAACCTTCGCTTGGCGCCTTTCCCCTAGGCCTGCCGGTGGTGGCAGGAACAGAGCTGAAAAAGAACCGCTGGTGGAAAAATTATAAGAATAAATTGAGAGGTGGTGGCGATAGCCAAAAGGGCGTGTTGTAAGGAGTGACAATAGTCAAAGGGGGTGTTTATTTTAATAAAATAAAGGGGGTGACAATAGTCAAAAGGGGGTGCGAGGGCGTGACAATAGTCAAAAGGGGGTGCAGGGGGGTGAAAATAGCCATTTCCAATAAAATTTTGCATGTCATCATATCACATAACTCGATCAATGCTTTGCTTTTTCTCATATTTCGGTCACTTTGAGTGCATGGTTTCATGTTCCGGTCAACGGTCATCGGCGCGACCGCTCATTTGGCGCACTACATGAATAGCTGCTGATCGTACTCCCTTTAGCTACCCGTCAAAAGTGGCTGAGCAAGCCCAACCCACTCTCAAAATTTTCAGGGGTCCCTTAAATTCCATTTGTCGAAGGAAAGGCGCAGTGTTCTGCGTCTCACCCGATTCAGAGTTTCTGTTATTGGTGTTGTTTTTCATAAAAATTTATTGATGCATACGTTCAAATTTAATGAGAGAAGGCGTTCTTAGAGGAAGAGCAATCTCCCTCTGCTTCCTTTGTCTGTAACGTATCCACACTCTCTCTGCAGTACTGTATGACAAACTCTCTCTTGCTTAGCCTCCAGCTTTTGCGCAGGCTCTCTCTCTCTGCTTTCCTATCACACATTCTGTTTAAAATTGTCTTTTAAACTCTTACTGGATAAAAATGAACGAACAAAATGACCGTCGTTGTGCTGCTGTCTACATTTTAACTCTTAAACCATCAAATTCTGTTGAGCCGTTCAAAAGTTATTGAAGACTAAACGAATGTTGACTACCGTTATCTTTAATCTTTAATATATATAACGGTAGTCAACATTCGTTGAGTCTTCAATAACTTTTGAATGTCTCAACAGAATCGCATGGTTTAAAGGTCAAAATATAGGCACTGAAAAAACGACGGTCGTTTTGTTCGATAATTTTTCTGGAAAAGCAGTTTAAACGATGTTTTTCGACAAAATGTTAAGATGAGAAACCAGAGAGAGTGTTAGGAGCATTTGAAGATGCTACTGCAAGAGAGAGTGAAAAAGATGAAGAGAGGAAACAGAGCGAGTTAGCCACTTATTCTTATTATACCCGGTCGGATAGTGTTTGATGGATGTGCTGCACCCAGATCTTCCGTCCGTTTCCTTTGAAAAAATTTTCAGAGATGTAAGAAAGTTTTGTGCAAGCAAGGCACAAGATACAAACTGAGTACAAAAATGGATGAAGGATGGATGAGAGGCAGAAAATTATGGAAGCATCATGATGACAGGCACAAATGAGACCAAATTAGTACATATATGGAGAATGCTGGGAAAGCGAACAAAGAAGACTAATATTCAAATGAAATGTAAATGGGTCTGAGCGGTGTTCAGCAGAATCTGCATGAAAAACATGGTATGTTGTTGAAAGTATGTGTCGAAACTGTCTGCGTTCAGTTTATTGTTTTGTTGTGCACGAAGTTAGGGAATGGGTAACAACTTCTTTTGTTTGATCGTATACAGCCTTTTATTTCGTTTGTCGATGTCTTGATGTCAGATTGTAATAGAATGGTGTAATTACGGGATTTCGATTTGATAAAGTGATAATGGCGCGCTATAAAAGGAAACTGCTGTCCACAATTTCTGCTAGGAAAAAGGAAGGGAAATAAAACGCCAAACAACGTTCAAAAACCATTGCGTTAAACGCTGTTCGTAAAACAGCACCCGTGGAGTTAGCAAATGAACCTTCAACATCTGCGGTAAAGGGACAAAAGCGAAAGGACGGTGCAAATATGGAGTGCCGTTAGCGGAAGCGGGGAGAGGTAATTCTTAGCCGTAGATTTACCAAAAGTAAAGGTAGAAGTATTGTAATCTTAAGTATTATCGCATACTCTAATCTTTACGACTTAAGGGTACCGACTATTAACAGCTACGGTGAGAAAAATTAGTAACAAATTTGTGGTGTGTATAATACCGGTGTGTGGGTATACTTTAGACTGCGTGAGTAAATTCATTTATAGTGTGCATAATGCTCGTATAAACAAATGTGCCAAAGTAATGTGTAAGAAATGTAGCGTCTGTATATACTGTGTGGGTAAATGTGAATGTAGAAATGTGGTGTTTGTGTGTAAAGTTTAAATAAATTTTGTTACAGATTTATTGGGTCAAGTGTTCGAGATGCGACGCACAGCGGCTAAACCTGGAAAAAGGAGGGTTATGTTGTGGAAGTGGTACGAAAAAGCCTCAGGTGGTTCTGGAAATGCCAGAATTACCTGTTGATTATAAAAAGATCCTAGAATCTAGCGGTGATTCAAGACGGAATTCGCGGGCATATAATAATTATTTCGCAATGTCTGCACTGGGCAGTACCGGTGGAATTGACAGACTGTTTGGTGCCGCAAATCTGGTTTTACATGGCCGTACCTACCATAGAATGCTGTCAAGACAATGTAATACGGGGCCACTTCGTTGGTTTCTTTTGGACAATACGCAGTTGTTTAAAGATCTGGAGCTGGATCAAAATGCGGTTTTTGCTCTACGACACATGCTGGAAACCAATAATCATCTTTTTCGACAGTTCAAATTACTGGCAGAATATCCCAGTGAATCGGCTAAACTCGAACTGAGCTACGGATCATCGCAGGAAATAGCTGCTGTGATTGTTCCGTTCTGTGACGAGCCACAACGACGCCGGACTGTAATATGCTGGAAGAAGTCCGGTGAACCGGCATTTATTGACTGTCGCTCGGGACTATACGTCCCTTTGCAATATCCTTTATTGCTACTACTTGGCCGCCCATTTTATGATACTTCGTATAAAAGCGAAGATCCAAACAGTTCCATGCTGCGGTTTTACAGGCAGCATATACTGCGAAACGAAGCGATGCACGCACTTGGGGGAGTTTTCAACGAATTTTTAGTTGATGGTTTCAGCGCCGTTTTAGAAGAACGAATAGATTACATCAAGAAAAATCAAATGAAGATATGTGCTCGCGGGGTGTTGCCTAAAACGGACGAAAAGGGGAGCGGAAAAACATTCCTACCGCCAAGTTTTCTGGGTTCCAAGGCGCATCAACAACAGATGATTGCGGACGCACTAGCCATCGTTTCGCGTTATGGTAACCCGACATTCTTCGTCACCATTACCTGCAACCCGCGGTGGAACTTAATTGAAGAGCGACTGACCAGTGGCCAATCGGATCGACCCGATGTGACTGTTCAAGTGTTCAAAACAATTTTTCAGAAGTTTACGAATGAACTACCGAAGGTGCTCCATGGCAAGAAGGTGTATCGCGTGCACGTTATTGAATTCCAAAAGCGTGGTTAGTGCAAATGAAGAACAGTTACCCGAGTTTACGTCGATTAAAATATATGCAAGAATATTCTGCCGCACTAGCGATTTCCGTTATGGTCAACAACACACCACACAATTGAAAGTATGATACGCTAAAACGCAACATCTAATGAAATTTTATAACAGGTTTACCACATGCTCATATTGCCATAAAAATCCATCCTGAACCAAAAACAGAGGCAGAAATTGATTACGTAATTAGCGCGGAACTGCCTGTTGAAGATCCTGAGCTGTTGCTTTTAGTAAAAGAGCATCATTTACACAACCATGTTCCTGAACGTTGTTATAAAACGGACTACGAGAAACGTTTCAAGAAGTAAGTTTCGTAAATTCGAATCTTTTTTAGCAGGCACTAATGGATGGTTTGTTTAGGTGTCACTACGGCTATCCTAAACCAGTCCTGATGAATACGGTAGTAGATGAATCTGACGGTTTTGTGCATTACCGCAGGCGACATCCGGACGATGCTAACGTTGTGCCGTATAACCCGCACTTAGTGAGAAAATATAAAGCGCACATCAACGTCGAACTGTCAGCGACAGTTGTACTTATAATGTACCTTTATAAGTACTTTTATAAGGGGTATGATTATGCAACGTTGAAACTGTATAAAGAAGACGAAATAGCGCAATATATTCATGGACGTTATCTCGCCGCATCTGAAGCCTGTTGGAGATTTTTTGAATATGGAATGACCCGACGCGAGCCAACAGTTAAGCGATTTCCGGTTCATTTACCTGATGGAAATATGGTTGTTTTTCGAGAAGGAGAGGAATCATCAATTCAAAACGCTTCTGAGCGGCTATCAGATCTGGAACGGTACGGTGAAAGTAACTTGGACCATTTATTTAAAATTGCGGTTAACTTCAAATGGTTATTTCATTTAAATTTTTTGTAGTTATTTTTCACGGCCCAATGACGAGCTGTTTGACTCTCTGAAGTATCTTGAGTATTATGAACGCTACGAAGTAACAAATCGTAAATTTCCTGCACGAGTGGCGCAACATCTGCGGTTTCGAGACCAATGCGGAGACAAATCACGGAATGTTTTTCAGTTGTTGAAACCTATCGTATGCCGAATGGATGTTAAACTGCTACGGCATGGGGAAGTGTGGTATCTTCGTCTGTTACTACAACATAAAGCCGCCCGTTCTTTCGAGGAATTATTAACCGTAGACGACGTCAAGTCTTCATCTTTTGCGCAAGCTGCGCAGTTAATGGGACTTCTGGAAAATTCCAGCGAAGCCCACATCTGCATGGAGGAAGCAGCGAAGAGGTTATGTTCCCCTTACCAGCTTCGCACACTTTTTTGTTTGCTTACGAATGACGGTGCACCAGCATTAGAATTATTTGAAACACACAAAGACTACATGGTCAAAGATTTCCAGGTTTCGCAAAAGCTTAGCGAAGAAGAAGCTTTGGAAGTTTTGCTACACGAACTGTCAGAGCGCTTTGAAAGTTTTTGTAAATCATTAGGAGATTTCGGGCTGCCGGTTCCGAAGCGGAAGCTGAGTGAAATTACGAAAGAAACTATGCAGTTTGATGCCAAAACGTGTGCTGCTGAAGCAACAGAAAGTATTGAAAAACTGAATGATGGACAACGGGGATTTTTTGTTTCCGTTTTAACCAACGTCGAGAATGGTACAGGAGGAGCGTATTACTTGGATGGTGGGCCCGGGCGCGGAAAATCCTTCCTTCTTAAAACTGTTATCAATTACTTCCGAGGAATGAAGAAAATCGTATTGTGCTGTGCGAGCACAGGTTTTGTTGCGGTTATGTACGATGGAGGTCGCACTGCCCACAATTTGTTCAGACTTGACGTGTACTGGCGTCCCTTAGTACACATCGGTACTACTTTACTACTTCTACCCCTACTACTAAGGCCTAGGCTTTACTACAACTTCTACGCGAGTCATGACCGCGACTCCGAGTATCGACTTCTTAGAAATCCCCAGCAGAGAACTTTGACCGCGACTTGCCATTTCGACGTGACCGCGCTTCGATGACGTAGCTCAACCTATTGTTCTAGTGTATTAGTTGACCTCATGTTCTCATTTGTCCACGTGTAGTGATGCAGCGGTGTGATTAGTCCACGTGTCCTCAGATGTCTCTTATTGGCTAGAGTTTATATCCCTATTGTTCCTCAGACCCGTACCTGCGCGTACGAAGAGCCAGCACTTGCGGTGCCCAGGGCTATATAAGGCGCTCGTCGCCCAGTGAAATGTCAAGAGTTGTAATCCCAACAAAAGTAGAGTCTTGTTACTCGATCTGATTAACTTCAGGCTTTTGCTCTGGTCTTCTCTTTTCAAGTGAGGCTGTTCAAACTGACCACTGGGTGACCTTTCACCTATTGTCAGGGGTCATTCCTCTATCTCGTCGACGTGCATTATCATCTTCGGATAATCTCGTGACGTAACAGGTTATCCATTTGATCCCACTTGATTTGCCGTGACCTTTCGGTCTCATCATCATCTTCATGCCCTGTAGCGCCAGGTTGATGGATATCTCTTATCGCTTCTGCTAACATCTAGCGTCGGACAGGTAACGTATACTTCTCCGTCGTGTGTGTATTTCTCGTGTTTGCAGGACCCGGACCTCTTCTTCTTTTCCTTTCCTACTTCATACCAGATCAACGTAATCTTCTACCATCTTCTGTAACAGTTTGAGACAGAGTCGCTCTATCCGACTGGACGTGGTCGGACAAGTGGATACAGTACCCACTTCACTGTGTTAGGTCTTTAATTCACGTCAGACTGCCGGTTAAAGATGACCCATACGACCTTTCTCCAATTGAGTGTAATGTTCGGAATAATGCCCAGCGCGCAAGTTTATTGAAATCAGCAGATTTGATTACAGTATCTGGGACGAATTTATCATGATGTACCGACAAAATGTAGAGGCTGTAGATGCATTGCTACGACGAATACGCAATGAGCCTGAGAAAGTATTCGGTGGAATACCTTTTATCGGTGCTGGTGACTTCCGACAGATTACGCCGATTATCCCTTTTGCAACTCGAGAAACAATTGTTCAAGCTAGCGTGAAATCGTCATTCCTTTGGAAACATTTTTTGAAGTATACCTTACGAATTCCAGTTCGTCAGCTTGCCGACGTCGAGTATGCTGAGTAAGTGTAACTTTACTAATTATAATTATACGAATACTAATTATCTGTGCCAGGATTTCGGCCCCTCTCATTCGGCGCCGGTGATCTCAGCTTCTGCTCATCCAATTTTCCTACTTCAAAATGCGTTAGAAACCTCTCGATCACACGGGTGTTCTGAGACCAATTATTGCTTGCTGTCTGCAGAACCTCATGACCAGTGGTCACTTCAAAGCTTGTTACCATGGATGCCATAAGGCTGACAAGGGCGGGAAACGCTCTAGGGAAACAGCTTATTTCTAACGATGTTGCAACATACTGCATGATTTGACGGCAACAAAATTCTAAAAATAGTCGCAAGCCAATATTCATCTTTGCTTAGCTTGTAGTAGTATAATTACGCCAATATATTTCAAGCCGCAAGCTTTGATATACACAGAACCAACTACAGTATACATATGTGTAGATTTTGTGACCGCATCGGTAACGGAACAGAAAATGGCGAAGACGGAACGGTTACTCTGCGCAATATCAGTGTCACTACTGATGTCACACAATTTTTAAATTTTGTATTTCCCGACATGGAGCTTGGTCAACTAAGTGCCAAAGATAATGCAGTTTTGTCTGTTAAAAACTCCGATGTAAACCACTTTAATAGTTACCTTCTGCCAAAGTTAACAAGGGAAACGGTGCCGCTCTTTAGTGGTGATACTCTTGACGATAGTTGTGGAGCAAAAGGTAAGCCGGACGCTTTCAACTATTGTATTTTAAATATGAAACAGCGCGTGTTTGATCCACAGATATATTTCAAAATGGCATGGATATTGATTTTTTCCATTCTTTGAATCGCCCGAACATTCCGCCTCACGAAATCAAGTTAAAAGCAGGATGCCACTGTTACCTCGTTAGAAACATCTGTCCAGAAGATGGTCTTTTTAATAATACCCAGGTAGAAGTTGTCTCCATAAACAAATCTTTAGTCCAAGTGAAGCTTTTGGATAATGAGAAAATCTTTTGGATTCCGTCGCTGCTGCATCAATGAGCGTCGCTGCTGAAAAAAATGCATTTTTCCTTATAAGCGTTTGCTCACGATATACAGCAAGCCCATTATTACTGTCAATGGTCAAACTAAAGGATCAACGACTACTACTTTGTTTGCAGTTTCGCAATAATTCATCGCAACATGTCAGATAAAGCATTAGCTAGTGCCCTCGTACATCGCTATTAATATTTTAAATTACGTTTGCGCGTACAAACAATACTTTTCTGGAGTTGTAACTTGACCTGTAGTAAAATCATTTTTAACAGCCCCTGCAGGAAGGGGATGGCGTATACGTTAAATGTACGTAATAAGATAATTACGTACAATGTTTACACAATAGCAACATTCGCGGTGACATTTATTGGAAAAATAAATTGACAATCAGCAGCAGCAGGAAAATAAACTGACAATATCCTCTGCGTCATTACTCAGCTACAGTCTACAAAACAACGCCCTTGACACACCTACCACAGTCTTCACGGTCTTACACCGCGTAAATCTTTCTCAAACATTAAATCTTCTGTCGCTTTCTCGGTTTCTCCAGTTCAGCAAAAAAATTCTCGATCATATCCTCTGGAACGCAAAACTCCAGAACATATGTATTGCACTCGTTCGAGTAACCCAAGTGTTTCACAAGAAAAAACACTTCGTGGCATTTCCTCGCGGAAATAAATCCGTCGGTCGTGGTATATATCGAGAATACATGAGGCTTTCTATAGTCTATACGCCATTATACGGCTTGTTTCTGAACGGTGTACGGGAGTCAGTAATCAAATTGTGACACGCACCTGTTTGCAACAATTTCGGAGGGTAGTTAAGTACTATACAATGTACGATGGGAGCATACTATTTACAAAGCAGTCCATTCTTATTTCTTGAATTTATTGCCGATTTTGTTTGCCATACTGCTGGGCCGCTGGCAAAATTTTGCCAGCTGTCTAACAGCAACGTAGCTGAAGCACGCGTGCGGTGGCCCATGGAGCACGCTGCTGGAATGAAAATCTTCAAAAATTCGTAATTTTGTTAATTTTAGTGTTTAATTCTTTTGTGTAAGCTGAAAAAATACAAAACAACGCATACCGTCAGGCAAAACAATTGATTCTTCGTTTTTCTTTTTGGGATATTCACTCGCAGCCTTCGTTGTTAACATAAGTACCTGTTTATGGAAGACTCATTCGAGATTTCTCACAGGCGGCTATGCTAAGCACGTATGCTCTGAGTGCAAGCCTTAAGACCAAACCAGAAAATCACTTATTCTTCCTAATAGTATATATTTTATATTTTTTAAGCGCATACAAAAAATTCAGCACGGAAAATAACAAAGTTACAAATTTTCGAAGATTTTCATTCCAGCAGCGTGCTGCTGGAACGAGAATGTGCTCATTCTAGCACCCATTTCCTGCCTGAATTAGTGAATTAGCCCCTTAGGCGTGGATTAAGCCAAAATTTAAAAAATTGATATTTTGAAAAAACATGTTAACAGGTGTACTGTAACTGATGCAATCGCAAACACGCGACGGCTTAATACAGTTTCTCACGGCTGGTTGTTTCTCTCGGGCTTGCAAGATAACTCCTGCTCTTGTGGCTCGATCAGTCACTGTTTAAAACAAACCAGCTTCAAAAATTAAGAACATGCTGCTTTTTGTGATAACTTTTGTCGCTGCCAAGAAATTTCAGTACATTCGGGAATCACGCTTATGAAACGTTTAAGTTCATTTTGAGTAAGTGATAAGAATGCAAAATCGATTTTGTACATTTTACTCCACAGCCGCCGCCTTCGGTTTCTGTGGTGCTTGGGAACCGGCAACCAGAATTTTCCCTTGACCGGTTTCAAATGAAAAGGCAAATTCTAAACTAGAAAATTTGCTAAATTTCTGATCCTGTAGCTTTGTGCATGTGTGCGTTAAATGTTTTTGGCTTTTGCGTTAAATGTAATTGCTAATATCCTTACAAAGTCCATGCTTGGGAGATTCAGCGAAATTGAATGAGTCGATAACACTCAAAGCTAGCGTTCAAGTCGATGGAGTCTGGAGCACAACCAGCGGTCAGCGGCTTATTTAAGTAACTAAACCAACAACTGTGGATGGTTGCACAGTTACACTGCCAGCAATGCTAAACTATCCTTTTATAAGGTATTAACTGTTCAAAAGCAGACCGTATATACTTACAGTCTTTGTATTATAACGTATACAGTATGTTTATGTATGCATAACTCACTGCACTCTGCAGGGTTTTGCCTCCGGAAAATACTAAACCACTCCCCTAAAATGGGCGAATCAAAGGCGTGTAACATTTTGGTTACGAATCTCCATAGACAAACCAAAAACAAGGGCCCGTTCAGGCATACACCTATCTATCTTAATTGCTTAGTGGGATTTGAGTTCAACCGGGGACAACCACCTAATTGCATTAGGTCCCAAAATTGCGTTCACGCAGCACACCTATGCTAACGTTAATTACCTAGCTCTTAATTGGTAGATAGCAATGCGCAGCCTGAACAGTGCTTTCCTATCAAAAGGTACCTTTTCGTTGTTCCGTAGACGCAATGGTTAAGACAAATAGGAACCACTCGAGGTTCCTATTTGTCACGGATACACTTGTATTTCTGATTGAAATGCTTTCACCATGATTATGCATGACCTAAAAAAATGTTTGATCCAGGATACGACTGATCTGGCTTTTACGAGTAATAGACAAATGCCGTACTTTAACGTTTACAATCTACTAAATCATAAATGCTAGCACATTTTAAATGGTATCGTGCGTTTGTTGAATAAGCAAGTCTGCATTCAATGCATAGTTCCATTTATATAATTAAAACACGCGATAATATGTTGTTTTATATGTGTGTTGTGAAATTAGAGATCTACCGCTAGCAAAAACAATATAAGCTTTTTACTGGGTGCTAAATTTAACTTGAGAAAGACCATCGGTACTGGTAAGTCTGCACCTGCAGTTAATAAATATACGAGGAGGAGCTACCTTGGCCCGATCAAAGGCATACGCGCAACCATTAACCGATCACTGTGCCCGGGTATTTGCATCCTGCGCCACGTGGGTGTGTAATACGGCTAGCCACCCAGCGGTGGCAGCGCACTAAAGCCCGCACTTAAAATAGCAAAATAGCACAGCAGTTGATCGCTCAGTTGTTTTTTACTTTTTTTAAAACTTTTCCAAACAATATCTTAAAATGTAAAGAATATAGAACTTTTATACAGATATCCCTTTCATTTCAAACCAAGAAAGTTACGCGTGGTGGAGTCTCTCGTAGACATAGCATAGGCTTTCAGCTAACGGTTCCAAGAAAGTATCTCAAGTTATATTTACGAAAAAACAAAAGGTTGTCACTAAGTTGGTTCTCCTGGTAGAAATAAAAATTGCCTACATGTTTCCCATATTTTGGAAAATTATCTAAATTCTTAGAGACACTTAAGAAAGGAATGCTATAAACTGGATTTTTTCTATAAAAAACTATTTACGTGCTGATGCTTGAAAGCTCCCGTCGCGGGGCGGTTAGCCGTGCTGCACACACCTGGAAACAGTGATCGGTTTATGGTCGTGCACATGCCTTTGATCGGGCCAAGGTAGCTCCTCCTCGTATAGCTTAATGTGACCAGCCGTTTGATGAAAATGGAAATTTCAACTGTGCTAACACCGTGGAAATATTTTCTTTTATACTTTAAAGGAACAAAACTCTTTCATATTTATTTATTGCTTTCTGACGTGACAGACTTTCACTGTTCTATACAGCGATCCTCATACGTGCACCAGTCCGTGCTTTTTTATAATTTGTTCTCGATAAACTGTTACAAATAATTGTTTTAGAGCTGTGGTTACACTTTCCGGTTAGTAAACTTTTCACCTCGGCACTAGGCAGTAGGCAACCGCCCGCTGTTTCGGCAACTGGCAACCGCCCACGGTTACTGTATGCAGCGCAATACGCATCCGCCCGCTGTGACGGTAGCAAACAGCCGCCCGAGGCGGTTGAGCGGTGCATTATGGTGAGCCGATATTAGGCGTATGGCAAGCCGAATAATTAACGAACCAACTGTCGGGTAAATATCTGTATGTCGGGCAAATACGACATATGTCGGGTAAATACGAAATTATGAACACTGTATTATCTGGTGTTTTATTGTATTTATGCATTGCCCGCTTTTGAAGCACTGACTTTAAAATGCATTCAGTAATTTATTGTATTTATTGCAACAAATAAATGGCACCCAAAGAATTGAAATACTGAGGTAGCGCAAGCGTGAAATCAGTTTTTAATTCTCTGCAATTGCAATTAAATAATATATGGTGAAGCACACGGAACTGTTACCGTTAATGTTATTACACATATTTATCCTACAATGACGCAGTCACTTAATAATCGATCTTTATAAACAGTAAGAATGTGAAAATAATTTCCATTCTGTGATTCTGCTCGGTTTTAGTTCCGCGTTTTGTTTAAGTATTGAATTACTGTATATTCGCATAAATACAGACAGGTGGCTTGCGTTCACGCAAACCCGACTGACTATCGCAGTCGCCTAAACAACAACTTTTATTGCACCTATCCAAAGGTGTCTGTGTGAACGCAATTCTGCTCCCTATTTAGGTATCTATTTAGCAAAGCGCGCCGCGTTCACGCAAACTGCTAAAAAACTGGCCGTTTTGGGCGGCGCTTCAATAGAAAATGAATAGATAGAAGTCAGCGTGAATCCGGCCCAAGACGTTAACACTATTCCTATGCGAAGACTAGTCTTCTTCTTTTCATAGTGTTAAGTCTGCATCTGTGTGCAGACCGACGTAAAATCGCATGCCACCAAATGCCTTCACGGCAATGATCCTCTCCGGTCCAGTACACGCCCACTCACCAACACATGCGCGCACTTCTGCATTTACAGTATTATTAATTAAATAATAATTCACTAACTTCATCTTTTATAAAAATTTTGCTTGATCATTAGGTTACCTTTGTAATATTTTGTCTGCCATCGAGTCTTAAAAGGCCCAAGCCCACACCCAGTAATAAATTTTCCTAACAATCGCTTTGGCTTTCTCTCATGGCCTTTCTCTTCCGCTTTTTGGATTTCGTTACAAAAGCTTACAAACTTCATTCGCACGTCTTCTGCATAATTGCTCACGTCCAACTCTCCATCAGTCAGATGGAACAAAAACTGCTTAATAAAGTAAAGCATCACTAATCCACAGCCATACTCCATGCATACTCATATACTTTGAACATCCACCTTCACCATCTGTTCCATTCTCAACCACTTTCCCATTTTTGGGTTGCTCAGTACATTATCACCAAATAATACTTTCACAAATTTCACCCACTCATCTTTATGGCAAAGCCCAGAAGAACAAAAATTATGACACCCTAGAACACCAAAAAACCGCATATTAACGGAAGTGGCCCGGTACATGGTACCAAATTCGTTTACATAAACGAAAACCGTCACTTTCGCGCATTCCCAAACACATTTTGTTTCAGTTTATCACATCCTGTAACCACATAATTTGTATACACTGCCGTGAATACCATTCTAGCGCGCAACATCCGGTTCGGAATATTTGGTACTAGCAAACTCCAAGAACTATAATTAGACTCAGGTGCGGCTAAAGTATCATTATGGACAGATCTGCTTCAAAATTATGCAAATAAATGCACAATAACAACGAAGAACGTTATACACCGATCCACACTGTTCAATCAAACTGATTTAAAGAAAATCAAAGAAATCGGGATCGTTGTAAGAACGATCATCATGGCCATTTTTATTTATGTGCAAAACTTGAAGAAGATCGATCCATAATGAGACTTTTAGTACACTACACTGATACAGATTGTGATAAAACAACAACAGAAAGGGATTTCCGAGTGCGTAAAAGTGAAAATTTTTGTGCACGTACTCGAATTTTCTACCATGTACCAAACAACTTCCTTAAACCACCAATATATAACACCAAATAACAACTCGCATTACCCTTACCCTTTTCCCCCACAATAACCAGACTCCCATGTGAACCAAATTGAGTCTTTGTGTAAAACGGCACCAACACACATTCCGCATCACGGATCCACTGAGATGCCTCCAAATCACCCAAACCCGGCACACCAATAATTTCACCAAATTGACCTTTAGCATGACCAAACGTTGTCACCCATCTTAGCGATTCTACTCCAAAATAAACGACTCTTTTCTCCAGTCCTGCTCCTCTCAAAAAACTTCTGACCATATGATCAAAAAAACTGATCGGTTCCGGAATCACCGGCTTGAAGCAATTAAGCAACTTTCTGAAAAAGTTGAATTCTTCCCGTTTCTCCGCGATCTTTTCACCACGTACGGATAACCCTTGCTCAATTTTTCCTCTAATTCCGGGACATAAAGTATCATATTTAGCATCGAACAAATGCCAAAACAATTTCTCACTGTCTTTAAATCGCTCCTTGCACTGATAACCTTTGCTCCCTTCTCCTAACCAATTTAGGCTGCATAAAAACTCTTTTTTCACTCTGCATATCGTGCTTCTTCTGCACTCAACTTCCCCCGACGTACTAAAATACTGACCTTTCTAACTTATCTTAAACAAAATGCTAGACAGGTACACAAATATACCACTGCAAACCATTACACTGATTACAGTACTGTAATCATTTTCTAATTAAAATTGACAGTCAACCTTTACACCACCTCAATCCCGCAACCGTCTCTTTTATTTAGGTACTTATATCCTTATGTATCCGCATCCATTCTTTCGTTACTCGGCAACATAATGGAAGTGCATAAACTTTCGAACTACCTTCTCCCTATAACCCTTACCACATACAGTATTACCACGTCAACTTTATTCTCACATCTCTCCTTCACTTCCACAGTTCGGCAAGATGGGGCGAGCGAAGCGAGCCCTCGTCTTGTAACTATTAAAGATAATCGCGTAAGCCTTAATCTTTGTTGAATTCGCCAGCTCGATGCACTGAATCAAACTGGCATGACTATGTATCATCCAGTAGCCCTCAAAGTATAGATTAGCCATCACAAATCAGTTTTTGAAGGAAAAAAAAGGTTTGAAAAAAAACTTTCAAAAACTTTACCGTACAAAGTCAAGAATCCACCACGGCTACACCGACACCCCATCACTGTCTCAACAGCCATCACGTTTTTTCGACAGTTTCGCTGCCGCTGGATGGAACTTTACAGTACGTTCCATAACAGATAATATTTCATCGCTTTAATGTATATATCTATCTCATCAAAATTTTTGAGTTTTGAGAAAGAAAACAAAGCGAAAGAAAGAAGACAAAGTGACCGCGATGATTCTGCGACTTTCAGACGGTTCTGTCTCATTTTAACACTTCGTTGACTAGCGTGGTTACTCACACCATAGTTGGCCTTATTAATTCAGTAACTAATTTCAAAAAAATATTTTTACAGCAGTTTTTGGGCTGTGTGAGTGAAAAAGCGTCTAGTTTGTTTTGCTGCTGTTTTCGGCACGGTCAATGCAGCCGGAAGTCCAGGACAGAGTTGGTGGAAGTCACCATGTTTTTGGGACATGGACGTTCAAATGGTCACACCGTTCAACTGCGTGAATGTTTGATATCGAAAAAATCAGGCCATGTACTGGATACTATTAGTAGCCAACTGGTCGATTTTGAGCGACATATGAGGTTCCGATCGCTTACAAAAAAATGAGGCGCATTGGGAAGTTTGGGAAGACTGCCCAATGATGCCGCTGTTCGACTGAAAGGTATACATGGAAAACGACCAGAGCAGCTAACAATCAGGCGCGCGCATACCGCTAGGGCAATAAAAGGCACTGTGATTCAAGGTTGAATGCGGGTCAGCTTAGACTAAGCAAAGACAATGGATGCGAGCCTGCGATCAATTAGCAGATAAGCAGAACATCCCATCAAAGCATTCTTTCTTCGCCAGTAAATCTGGCGCACGTGCTAATGAATTTCTTTTGTCTCAGTGGTCAATGTTATTGGCCAAATCTCATAAAAACAAAAAGTACGACTGGTTAGAAGATCTTACTGACCAATGGGATGCTTCTGGTGACTTCCACCAAGAAAGTCAGCCTCGTTGCTCAAAACTGCTAGTCAACGAAGTGTTAAGAATGTGCCTGACCCCCGCAGTGGTTTATTTAGTTTTCGCTTAACTACGCTATAACGCCTATAAGGTGCCTTCCCGGACAGGCGCGATTGCCTTTCTAAATTGCTTTCTTGCAGAACTGCCTGCGATTAAAGGCAAATTTGTTAAGTGCCTTTTCGTTCAATAGATAAAGCCAGGTGGTATTCGAGAATGGCAAACAGCAACTTCAGGGGATTTGTTTCGAAGAACAGCAAGCTGTTTGCTTTGCATGTTACGCGGTCTTTGGATTAAAGAACGTTTGATACATGTTAATGCGAATCCAGCTTCTGTGCAAGCTAAATCATTTTCGCTTTAAAAACTGGTGGGGTGTAATTGGAATTTGGACGTGGCGCGAATTGTACTGTGTAAAGTGGAAGGTTGCATTGTTTAGTAAAAACGCACAAATAAATTTTTCAGTTCGCTGTATAGCATACTGGAAGGCGGAGTCGGATGCGACTCCGAGATGCACGTGAACAGAGCTCGCGGAGCAGCAAGCATGCAAAAATTTCGCGTAATAGTTTCCGCTTTCGAAAAAGAATTAAAAGCTAAGGAAGAAGCACAAAGCAAGAAATGCTTCTGCTCTTATTTAAAAGTGGTTGGATGTGTTCTTTCAATAGTAAGAAAGGAGCAGCGATAGCAAGTAAAGTAATTACTGTTAGCGTACTAATAGTTAAACTGGGATGCAAAGGGCACCAATGGTGTTAATATTCACATTTGGTTTTCGAGTAGTACAACTGTATTGTACAGATAAACTGTTATCGGATAGTAACGACTCTAAAGCTAAAAAGACGCAGAATGATAAGGCTTCTGTTCTTGTGTCCTTCTTACTCTACAGCCTAAAAAAGAGCAGAATGACCAAAAAAGGAAGGGAGAGCAACTTCTAATAAATTCTGAAAATTTTTGACCCTTCATTACTGGCGACCTCCACGTGGCAAGGGTTGGGTATGTATGGCAAACAGTCATACATAGCAAACGGCCAGTAAAAACAAATTTTTACGATAAATCCTAAATTCTGCTAGATCCTGCACATTGCACCGCATCGCCATCATACGATATCAGAATCATAACGTACCGAAACACTTATGTGCTAACCGGAAACAGTTTGTGCATGGCCTTCTAACACGTGCATGCATGGGCTTTTACACTTGTTCTGCGCAGGGCACTTGTGCACGGTTGTGTGTGCACAGTGGTGTCCATTTTTTCCATATTTACATCTTAGCAGGTTTGAATTTTTTCACGTATTTCGAATTTTGATTAAAACAAGATTTATTCGTAATTTCCCATGTCCATTAGATTTTTCTTGCTGTGACTTTCAAGTATTCAAGTACTGCACTTGCAATAAACGTAGTCTTGACTATAAACAACAAAATACGCAGTACGACAACTACTGCGTATTTTGCTTCTTCTAAATTTTATATCGAAACTAAGAGCACACGAACTTTCGCAAATGAAGTGCTACTGGATTGTTTTAATATAAATACATACTAAATTAACTATAATATTTATGACTGTATTATGTAATTCTGTAATACTTCAATATTACTTCAATATTACTGTAATATTAATGAAAATATTACTAGAGTATTTACCGGAAGCCCGGAAGCCAACAGACGCCCCGGCCTAACATAGCAAATCGCGAACCACGACTGCTACTATTGGCGCCAACAGACGCCCCACTCCGCGTTACATGGAGCCGACCGTTAATTACATGGTACAGATCACGCCATTAACCACGATCGGCTGCGAAGATTACTCCGGCCAGCCGACTCCGGAGCATAGACCAAGAGGATTACGCTAACATGGCGTGGAATACGTCGCTGCGTGTTCATCGTCATGTTTGCCAAGCACCCGTGGCCAACTTCGGAACCGGGTAGCCGAGCAGCCTTCACCAGTGTAAACAGCGGACATCCCTCGGCCGAGCCTCCAACAGCGCAGGAAGACTCGGATTTGACTACGTGTACTTGAGCCGACCACAAAGGTCGACTTCGTACTTTACCCATAACTTGGGGACATAATGGATATTCCTGCACTAGCCGACCACAAAGGCCGGTTGTGCAAGCCGATCACAAAGATCGGTTTCGGAAACCGAGAATGAACGGTTCAGAAATCGGGAGTTGGAACTGCAACGATGCAGATTGCCGAACCACGACTTGCTATCGTAGCCGACCACGCAGGTCGACTAGATACATGGTAGCTGACCCACATAAGTCTACTAGGAAGATTGGACGGAAGCCAGAGGTAGTTACTTGGCAACTCAACCGGATTCTCCGTTTGAACCCAGATATACAGGAACTCAACTGGGAACCTGTACCCGGAGTCCAACCGCAGTCTCCCCCGGAGGATATCGTGTAAAAGAGCCGATTCACCGGTGACCACGACTACGCGCGTCGCGAACGTGCTGCCATTCCCTGAAGAGGAACAGCGACGGTGATTTGGCCGCCACTCCAACGACTCCGCCGCGACCTGCATCCCCATGTCTCAAATGGAACATCCTAGGTAGACTGAGTTAGAACACTCGGCCTGCACCCCTTTAACCAATCCCCGATGGCGATGACCACTTGCCCGCAACAGTACCGGCCAATTGGCCAGCGTCACCGGCAAAGAAAATTTCTCCGCGGACGTGAGCTGCCTACCCCCAACAGAAGCGGCTAGGCGTCTCAGGTTCGCGATAAAACAAAATGAAAGAATCGGATCTGACGACCTCTGGGACTTGCATGTGCATGAAGTTTAAAACCAAAGAGTTCGACTCGCCAACCAGGGCCACAAAGACCCTTAGCGTTGTAAGCCGGCACAACTGCATGATGAAACGCCAGTCACTCGGCCAACAGATGACAAGGAAACTCCTACCTCGCAGGACTCGGCGGCCCAAAGGCAAGTCATTCGAACTAACCGACCTCAGACGGAGGTCGGAAGTCAGCCAATGGAGGTCGGAAAATCAATCAGAAGTAAGAAATCGACCTCCTAGTGGAACAACATACCTTTTCGGCGGATAAACACAAAGTCTATCCGACCTGAGGAAGTCGGAAAACAGCCGACCTCGGAACTTCGACATGGATACCCGACCTTAAGACGAGGTCGGAAGTGACCGCACAGAAGTCGGTCACTATAAATTCCGATCTGACCTTCGAGCCAGTTCGACTCGGATTACTCCAAACCAGGCTCGTGGTAGCAGATTGAACGGTTGTAACCGACCACTTTTGGACGGAACTGCTGTACATGACGACCACACAGGCCGCATGACCTACATACAGCTTTTCCCGACCTGAACTTTAAGAATTCGGAACATAGCCGAATTTCCCCCCGGCACCAGTCGACTTACCGGTAGGCCGACCTTGGTCAAACCGACCTTGGCCCTATTCCCCATTCAGAGAGGATGCCCCGGCATTTGCATCTGCAACAGTGCCTCTCTATCCCGAACGGACGGATACAAGTCGGAATTAAGTGTTTAACCGTGCTTATCCGACCTCGGCGAATGCAACCGGTTACGACGGGTAACCCGGGAACCGACGCCTCGGACCCAATTTACCGGATGAAAACGGACAGGAGACCC